GCGCGCGCGCGCTACTGAACAGGTGCAGGAGCCAGAGCTTTTCCCAACCTGCACCCCCCCTTGCTGAGGTTAAAAAAAAAAAAAAAAATCACAGAAAATGTAACAAGATCTTTATCTTATTCAGCTTAAATCCAGGTATAGAAGTGGCTGCTCTGAGGGCTCCTCTTCTCAGGGCTACTCAGCCCACACCCTAGATTTTTCTCCTCCTAAAACCTCTCCACATCCCTCATAGGCAGGTGAGAGAACAATCACCCGCCTCAGTATGTCACAAGAACCCCCCAAACATCCCCAGAAGGATCAATGCCCAAAGTGTTGGGGGAAAATGGATGGCTAACACCCTAAAACCACTATGCAAGGGGGGAGGTTCAGTACCAGAGACTGGCAGGGTGAGGAGCAGCCTCCCACCTACACAGCCAGGGAGTCACTTGGCATGGCCACAGCTGTCCAGCTTCCACTCCCGAATTCCCGTGCTAAAAGCCCGAGGAAGGCAGAGGGCAGGTTGTGTCAGCCCGTCTCCACACAGCCTGCTCTTACGCACCAGGTCCCTTGCACAGCCCTGCAGCTCAACAGGTTTGGTGGGTTGGGCAGCAGAGTCAGGTCTGGGGACTTTTGGCAGCACCTTCCTTGATGCACAGTCACGTGTTTCCCCTGCTGAACAGAGCCTAGAAGCAGCAGACGCCACAGGAGGAAGCTTCTTGCTGCCCCACTCCAGGGCCCTATGGCCAAAAACACAAGCAGCATTTCCTTGTTACCAGCCCAAGGCTCCAGCCCAGATAACCCCTCATGGGTAGAAGTGCCACCGACATGCCTGACACTTGCGGTCAATGGCTGGAAACGTTATTTTCCTGCATCCACAAGTGCACAGGTGGGTGGAAGTGGAGGGAGTGAGCAGCAGCTTCCTTGGCTTCTCTCTCATCTGTCTGCATGAAGCAAGTCACTGTGTCATCCAGGCCTGACAGCTTCCCTCATTTTCTCTCCCTTTCGTCCCCTCCTCCAGCAAAAGCACTCGCTGCCCTGACCTCCAATTCAGAACAGGGAATGGGACGGGACTGCCAGGGCAGGGCTCCAACCTAGAGGCTTACTCGGCGACCAGATGAGGTGCGATGAAGGCCCAACAATGTGCAGCACTTCTAGGGCAGTATACTTGCTGATTGCTTCCTTGTCTATTGTTCACAACAACCAGCTAAGACACTGCCAAAGAAACACTCACAGCTGGCATCCACTGATGAGAGGTTGGTTCCATCTTCCTCCTCCATCTGATCTACAGGAGGCAAGAGGGTCTAGGGAACAAAACAACAGTCAACAAACAGCCATAAGAATAAGAGATCAGCTCTCAAGGTGGAGATTTTTCAACTATACATCAACAGACACCCTTTCCCCTGCCCTCCCATGCACCCTCCCCCCTCCTCCAATCCAACTTAAGGCCTCTAAACCTTACAGATAATTAATATTAAGAAAGAAGCCAGCTTACTTGTCTGGATTCCATATTTATCTAAATTGCTCCTCCAGGTCCAAACAGCCGTGCTCAGACAGATAGTGGGATGACAAAGCACTTCCAGATGCCCCATAAATAGTTTGAGGCAAGTTTGTTCAAACTCCTGGCGGTTTTGCTTGTATGCACAGTGCTACTCCCAAGCTCCGCATAGGAGCGGAGGAGAACTCGCTGGCAACGGATCCACCTGCAGACAACAGCAAAAGCGCTCCAATTCTGATTTATGATCGGGCTACTTTTACATACTTTTACACAGCCAGAGAGCGCCTCAGGGAGGCAGTACTGCTCGTTCGTGTGATATCAGTCTTAAAGTCCTGGCTCCCAGAGTCACATGAATGTGGTGGGCCAACTTTCAGTTAAAACGTAGGTCTAACCCTCCTGGTTTTAGCCCTGTAAGGCAGGGAATCTACTCACGGATCTTTTTAGCACAATGGATCTTTTCAGCCTTTGTTTTATAGAGGCTCATATTGGGATCCAAAAAATGTTTGTCTTTTTTTTCGGAGGGATACTCAGACATTTCTGAGATGTGCAAGTTTCCCATCCATTCTATACCAGCCCAGGTAAAAAGGTAACATCAAGCCTAAGTGAGTGTGAACATAAACAGAGGGCAGGTTAGGGGAAATATCAGAATAAAAACTTGGATTCCTTTTTTCCTGACCCAGTTTTGTTCCCTGTGAAACTGGATTTCGTCTTTGGGCAAATGCCAGTGGTGCCTTTAGCCTGACAGACAGAAGGAGAACAAGATCCATGAACTGAAAGCTAGAATAAAAGAAAAAATCCAAGCCAGAAATAAGACCTTTTATAAGCACAGCAGATGTAATTAGTATTTGGACCAGATCAGCCCAGCTGAGCCGTATTTGCCACGCTTGGGGCTCTTCCCTTCAAGACTGGGTTGGTTCTAAGTGATGTGCTGTAGTTCAATAAGGGGCTAGGCTTGATGCAAGAGTCACTGAAGGAAGTGCTGGGGCTTAGATTATGCAGGAGCCCTGACCAGATTATTATAAATGGCCCCTTTAAGCCTTAAACACTAGGAAGCGTCTGAGGAGGCTGCCTGGAAGGAGAAATAAGGGGCTGTGAGTGTATTCTAGCCAAGTGTATTCTTTCATTTCTACCCAGGAGGACTTTTATAATCTTTTCTCCAATGCCTGATAAGGCTGTGTGTGTCCAAAAACGCGCAATTAAAGATTTTTTTTTGCAAAAATCGTGCTGGTCAAATAAGAGATATCACTTTTACCATGAGCCCCGATTGCTTTTTTCTCTAAACCAATATGGCTACAACCTGGATACTTTCTAGCCAGGGAGGCCCACCAGGAAGGAAAAAAGCTAGGACCAATACCAATGAGAAGTTGACTTCCTCCATGCTGGGGAAAAAAAGGCAACAATTGTCCACTAACCAATCCTTTCTTTGTGCAGCCTGTCCTCCAGCAACCAATCCAAGGATCAAACCTTCTCCAAACAGAGATGAGCCAAGCTGTAGACCCGGCTGCCTTGTTTAAACAGTGACCCAACCAGTACTTCAATATTCCCCTGTGGTATCAGAGCAAGTCAGGTTATCTCAGAAGCAATAAATAGTTCAGGGACAGGACCAACAAAGGGGAATCAAACACAGAAGAGGGTACTGATATGTCCTCAAAGCACACTCTGCTTTTGTTCCCAGCTGCAAGAACTAAGGGACTCTACGGTAGCCTTGCTGGGGCAATGGCAAGGTCCCACTGAAACCTAGACAGGACAAAGCTCTGGAGAAGACAGCGTCGAGACAACCTGACAGTGATGGGGAAACGAGGCAAGGTAGGAGATGCGGTGCACCTGTTATCTCCACAGTATAATGATCTTTTACTTCTCCAAACACTTTAACTCCCCTACGATACTTTTCATCTGCAAAGCTCAAGGTTCTCTGCCACAAGATGGTACCAACATCCAGCTGAGACAGTCCTGCTATTGCCCTAGAAAAGCATTAGCTGACCTAATAGACCCCCAAAGCCTGTTCTACTCAAGCCTGACCAGAAGGGCAGCCCAGTCAAGGTCTTGCATGCATGTTTACATGCGTGTGTGTAGTGTTACTCAGCTGTTTAGTATTAAAGTGCTAGTAGCCCTCTGCAAATCGACTGTAACTTATCCCCAGTTTACTCCCTCAATCAAGTCTAACCAGTCAGAGTCCAGCTCCTGGCAGTCAGACAGGGATCTCTGCTGGGGGTTGTGTTGTGCTGTTGCCAAGAGCACTGGGAGGAAATAGTTTATAGATAATGCAACCAGGAAAAACTGAAAGCAACAGATAACCAAACACCCTTAACACCTTTGAAGGGAAAACCCCTACCCTGCCTGGACCAAGGGTTGGCAAAGCCAGTCCGCTTCAACATGTTGGACTCCTCCCCCCTAGACATATTACACACGTGCCATGATTAAACACTGGGGCTGTGCGAAAATTTCATCAGCCATTTCATTCCAACAGTATTTTGAGGTCAAAACAGCAAAATTGGAATGAAACAAAGGCTGTTGAAACGGCCTCGAAAACAGAATGAGGCTGGTCAAAACGTTTCAGCCAGAGGCTGGGGATGGGAAGTCCGTCCAGCTGGGCTGCCTCCCCATCCCCAGCGAAACTCAAAACAGTGTCAAAACAGCCTTTGTTTTGATGGGAGGGAATGGAACAGGTATTCCGACTCGAAATGAAATTCGAGATGAAACACTGTTTTGTCGAACCGTTGAAACAAGGCAAAATGGAACAGTGCCGCTTCACACAGCCCTAACTAACACCTTCATCACAGCAGAAATGGAAAAGGTGTGACATGTGCACCCCATTTAGGGCGCCATGAAATGGGAACCTAGCCATAAAAGTGTTCCACGTAGAACAGAGACAACACAGGCATGCAATTACATGTAGGTGGAGACTGCAGAGAGCTACAGGGGAGGAAGAAGAAAAAAAAAAAAATAATCAGTTTTTGGGGAGTACAAGTCCCTTCATCCCAAGGAAGAGCAAGTTTTATAAACACAGGGAAACACACACACACACACACGCGCGCGCGCCCTTCCACCATTAGAGACAGAAAAGGCCAGCTGTTTCAAGTTACAGTGCAGTTGTTTGATGGTAGCACCTAACCACATCGACCCAGCTGGGGCCCTATCAGCTCAAGCACCATTCAGTGATGTAGTTGGATAGTGTTCCTGCCCAAAGAGTTTGCAAGCTAAGTCTCCAAATGAATAACAATACTCAAGACATTCTGCACACAATTGCATGTTGACTCTTCTCTCAGACCATTAGGATTTAATGTCTATAAAAGCTGGACCCACAATCTCCATTATCAGCTATTAATGGAACCTTGCCACAGGCCACTAATGAGTACACACACACACACACACACACACACCCCTATATCTTCAGAGAGTACACAATCATATCTTGTGGCACAAAGGTTTTAGCTGCATGAGACTAGGACAGCTGGATTCCTCACACATGCCTCCTCCAAGGACCCTGGATTGGATTTCCCACTGCAAGATGGGGCCTAACCAGGTTAACAGTCACTCGGGAAAGCCTTTAAGCTTTGCAATGGAGATTTAAAATGCTATCTGACAGGGTGAAGGAAAAGCATCTTCTCTGCAGACAGCCAGGCTCATTTAAGACAGATTAGTCCCTGGTGCTGCTGCAGAAAAGGCAGGCATTTGTGACGCTTAAAAAAAGGGTCTGGCTCTTGAGAAGCATTTGTTTGCTCTTTCATTTCCAGCCAGACGGAGGTTATCTCTGGCAGGCCACTCAGGAGCAGCTTTCAAGTCTTAAGGGGAAAAGAAAAATCTGACAGAATTAGTAACAGTTGGAAGAGACTTGCTTGGAGACGGTGCTCCCCGAGAGTAATTTTAGAGGCTTTTCCCTTTGGCGCCTTGTCTAGCAGTAGTTTTGCTTCTCGCTAGTCCACATTTTCCATGGTCACACACGGATGGAAAGTTTTGTGCTTTGGTGCATACTTTGCATTGCAACCAAGGGCAGCAAGAATTTCAGCATCTTGCCCATCAGCATCCCAGCACTGACAGAGGCGATCCGTGCTGGCGACTGCTGCACACAGTTAAACTGTGCACATGAACCAGTGGAACCTGCAAACCCAGAGGAGCAGGAAGGTAGCATTCGTATCAGGAAAAGCAGCCCACCAAGACTTGCAGTGGGGGGAGGACATGCAAGAAAGAGCAAGATGAAAGAGCCCTGTGGGTTCAAATTACACCAGCTCATGCTGCTTCTGAATCTTGTTTCCAGTGTACTGCTGTCTTTGTTGTACTCTGCCTACCCAGCTGAAATACTGGATCGGAGATGAGGGGTTCTGACCATGCCCAGACTGTATGTCTAGTGGTACAGCAAGCAGAAGAGAGCTACCCGAACAATCAGGTCACAACAACAGATTAATCCCCAAGGAGCAGGTTAATTATGACTTGCTATTACCAAAAAGATGCTTCTGTTAGAGAGAACATATTCCAATGAAGCGGGGAGGGTGGCGGGAAACCTGCTCAGACAAGATCTGCAGTAATGGCATTTTGCCAACCAGGAATACACCTCTATGGGTGTAAGCCTCTACTTAACCAAACAATGCATTCCCAGGGTCGTGTCATTCAACTGAAGTCAGGATGGGGATGATCTGGGGCAGAGGTTCCCAAACTCTGGGCCACGGCACAGTGCCGGGCCACAAAGGGTTGACAGCCGGTCTGCGGGAGGGTTGGCTTCCGGACCAGGAGTCCAGAAGTGACTGGTATACCGCAGACTGGCAGGCAACCCTTTTTTATACTGAGTATAAAAAAGGGGTGGCTGATGCCAGTTAGTCCTGGTCTGCTGGCCCGCCGTTTTGCCGGTCCACGGTCACTTCTGGTCCGCAGTCTAAAAAGGTTGGGAACCACTGATCTGGGGCATCATATATGACTAAACCAGCACCGATTTAGTGACGGGGGAATTCCAGACCTGTTGCAGCGATGCGTGAGGCTCCGTGGTTTCTAAGGCAATCAAGTGCAGATGCTTCTCCAAAGATGCAACCAGGTCCTGTGGGAAGCTTAATAAGAGCTCAAGCGTCTCCAAGTACTTCCCCATTTCCAGTCAAGTCACCAATCTTAGGCCACTTACCTCAGCCCAGTCTGTGGGTTGAAACCCAGAATCAGACTCACCTAAGCAGTAGTGACCTCACCATTTTAAGCCATCCTTTTTTTACTCCAGCACCAGAGATCCTATAAAAGGTACACTCTGCTTGAAAATAATTTCAAGACAAAACTCCTTCGTTAAAGAAAGGCATGAGATAAGGCAAGTTCCCTGTAATCTCCTCCCTCCACATGCACCTAGAGGTTGGCAGTTCAGTCCCATATACCAGACAGGCAGGCAGGAAGAAAAAGCTTTTCCTGGGCTTCTTACAACAGCCACAAAGAGACAGGCTTTGCGAGCAGTGGGTATACGCTATGCAAGAGTCCCAGCGCTCTCTCCCAACTGCACGTTCAAATAACAGGCCTACTAAAAAGACAAGTGACCATTCCCAACAAATACGCGAAAGCTTCCACGTCCCCTCCACCACTCGTTTAAACCCACAGCAGGATTGTCCTGCCATGAGGCACCTGCTTTCTTGGGGCCCTGCTTCGAAGAGAATTACCCATTTCCTCGGGCTCTTCAGGTTGGTTTCTCTCCTGTTGGGAGCTGCTGAGCAAAGTCTTTCTGGACTCATCTAATCTCCACTCTCCTACCTCTGGGACTCAAATGCTCACCGGTAGCTCGCAAGAGCTGCATCCACCTGCTGCACAGCTCTGTCTCAGCCTGCTGCGCCGGGGCCGTCCGCATTCCCACTCCGGCAACAGCCTCACCCTGCCCAGTTGCCACTCCTGTAGGGAGAGCTCTCAGCGGATATGCAAACAGGGAAGATACCTTTGCAGTGAGTCACCGACTGCCTAAAATAAAGCGGAACCGGAGGAAAAGGAGACGGACAGCACCAGTCTGATTGCACTTAAAGAAAAGGGAGGCAGAAGAGGGCAAAGCCTGCAGGGCACAAGATGAAGGAGGGACCTACGTAGGAACAGGGGAAAGGCAGCCCAGAAGGGAGACTACAGCAGTGTGAAGCAGGGTCCCGGCCTCTCAATCTCTGCTGGCATTTCTGCCCACACGTGGCTATTTGAGGAAGAGCATCTCATGCCAGCACTTCTCAGCCAGCTGGCCCACATGGGCACTGCTGTTCAGAGGAGGGGCAGTTGTCCCAGTCTGGCAGTGGGTGTCAGGGGGAGAAGGCACAGTGGTAAAAAGGAGCCAAGGGCAGCTCCAGGATCATGCTGGCGACACCCCAGGGGCAGTCAGTTCATCCCCCATTAGCGACTCGCCCCCACCCACTTTTCCTGCAGGCACTTCAACATCTTCCCACAATTCCCATCACGTGCCCCCAAGTACAGAGAAGTGCTCACACAGCTCACTGGTAAAATGAATGCCCCAGTAAGGACCCTCAGAGTCCTGACAGCTGGGGAGGTACAGTGCCAGCAAGGATCCAGACTGAAGCATGAGTTTGCACTGTGGCTGCTCATGGCAGGCGCTCAGACCGAGGGGTATAGCACCCAGGTTTACCCAGCAACAGAGACACGTCCTGCTCAGCTAGTCCAGGGTCTTGTCCTTTCCAAGATACCCAATAAAGCTCTCTCTAAAAAGGATACCAAAAAGAGACTAACCAGACTGGCTGCATCCTCCACTTGTTAACAGGTGCTTTATATTTAAAGTCTACCGCATACATAGCGCAGAAAGCATCCACTGTAAAGGGCCAGCCAGTCCCCCAGCACCTCTGACATCACTGGCTGAGGCAGCAATCATATTTCCACATCAAAGCAAGACAAGGCTGAGGTTTCATGTGCACAGCTGTAACTCTCGTGAAAATGCTTTTCCCATAGCTGCTTGCCTCCACAGGCTGCACAACTCGGCTCCGCAAGCCGGCCCTTTTGCAAATGCGTGCTGCCTGCCACGATGCTACTGCTATGTCTGGACACACAGATCCCTTCCTTCTTTACCAGACCTGATATGTCCAGGCCTGTCTTTCAAGCATCTCCTAAAAAACAGAATATCCCTCATCTTCCACTAATAATAAGCCTTATACGTTATGTATTTAACATAATCCTTAAGGTGCATGATTACTAGCCAGTGCATCTGCATACACTTCCCACTGTTGCATGCTCCCTGGATACACTTTTCCTCTGCTCTGCATCTCACTTTGTCATGTCTTGACTTCAAACTGCAAGTCTGTCATCTTATTGTCCGAACAGTACTTGGCACGCTTGAATAACCAGATTTACTACTTTTAGGTGCCTCAAAGCCTCCCACCCGACCACCCCCCCCAAGATCCACTGGCAATTCCATTCACATGCACAGACTCTTGAAGAACAATGTAGTTTCAGCAAAACTCCTGCATGAAATCAACTCTATTTACAAGATACCAGAAACATTTGTTCTCCAAATGGGATGTTTTATAGCGATATCTATTAAAAACAAGCATAAACTCCAAAACGACGACAAAGCTCTGAAAATTAGATGAAACTAAATTTTCTATTTTATCTCGGGCCAATCCCCAGGGTGCCTACATCATTACAATTCCCACCAGAGCTGAAACTAATTGGTAAAGGCATCAAGGCTCAAATGGGCTATGGATGCTGAACCAAACCACTCACCCCAGAAACGACATTGCTCTACAGTCAAGGTTGAGACAGTGTGGGAACCGGGGGGTGGGGGGTGTGCAGGATCTCATACTGCTGCACCTGGAGCTGTGTCTGTTCAACATTCATTGAGCCTTTATTTGCCATAGCAGCTACATCTCATTGGCACCAATAGCCTGATCCAAACTCTGTTGCAATCACCGGGAAAAAGATCCCCAGACCCCATTGAGATCAACTGATCTGGCCCTGTATGATACCAACCGTGTAAATTAAGACAAGTCAATGATCCCTCGTTTTAAGACGACTTAACTGGTTGTTTAGTTGTGAAATTTAAATGAAAAATCCATCAAGATAAGCTACCTCCCTCCACCCCTGCCCCACAAGAGGCAGACTGGCCTCCAGCCAACATTAGACATCTGACAGCTCCCAAGAGAGAATTTCAATCTTTGCTCATAGCAGACTGGGGTCTCATGTGCCATGCACCACAACTTTGAAGCCATTTCTATGCCAACACTCACCCCCTGCAGCCCTAGGCTAGTTACTCACCCTGGCCGTGCCTCAATTTCCCCATCTGTTAAAAAAGAAAAGGAATCATTATGACCTACCTCATGGAGGAATTAGAGGCAGGAATAAATTTACAAAATGCTTAGAAAGCAGAAACGCTGCAGACATGCCAATTTTTATTCCATAAGCACATGGAGGGACACAAGGCTTAGAGTCAGGCCAAAGTAAATGCTTTGGGCATAGAAAACCAGATAAACAGGGGAAAGAAAAAACCCACATGCTGTCATGGGTTGCATTATCCCAAGAAAGCCAAACTCTCCGATGACCTCATGCAGTCTGGAGTGCAAGAATCCCAGTGACCCAATGCCCCAGGTGACTCTAGGGATCAGAGGTGACAGCAGGTCAGCAAGTATCCCTGTTGCTGAGCCCAAGAGACAGAGCCTGGACCAGAAGCCTGTGGGAGTAGAGCAAATTTTGTGCTAGCTCCCATTCAGTAGTCCAAGTGCTTATGGAGCCAGCTGCACCCGCTCCCGAGCTGCAGAGCTTGCTTCCTTTGCTGCAAGCCTCACCCTTTGGTGCTTTCCGGACTGGCCAGATCAGTGCTGCAGGCAGAGGTCACATGCACAGGCAATCGGGGAGCAAATGCATCTTGCAGGCAGATGTGAAGAACCAGCCAGCAGCCCATAGGGCAGGAGGGGAAAGGACAGGGCCCATGGAGCAGTGCTCTCCTCGGCTGTCCTGGGTAGGCTGCACTCCCACCTATAGCCCAGCCTGCTCCTGATTATTCACTTTGCTTGATGGGGCACTAAGTCCCCAGCAGCACCTGAGTCCCCAGCAGAGTACATCCCTGCCCTACCAACCATGAGCAAGGTGCCTTCACCTGCTCAGGCCGTACCTGCAGTTCAGAGCCATCTCTCCCTGGAATGAGATCGGTCAGCCCAGTCTCAGCCCTGGAGTACCAAGAACAAGGGGACCAAAGTTAGGACTCGGCATACCTCGCATGGCACCATCAAGCATCTGGCAACTTGTTTCCCTTGCATCCTGCGGAGAAGGCTGGGGAACACCACTAGAGTGTTACAGTTACAGTACAGCTGAGGCCCTAACATATACCTGCCCATTTATCTGAACTAAGCCATCCTGGCCAATGGACGTGTCCTCATCCATTTGGGTATTCACTGCAGGCCTTGTCTCAGTGCCAATGATGGCCAAAATTGGCATGTCTGAGCGGGACTGCTCTAGACCCCCTCCCAAGGTGAAGAAAACCCAGGAGGTCCTAAGCACAGGTCTGGCACACTCACCCAAGGAGAGGCGTGTGCATGCACGCAGGTACCAGCAATCTTGACTGACACAGGCTATCGGGAAGTAATGGTACATCACACCTGACTGCAATGTAGGCACACGCTGCCCGAGCACTAGCTCGCTCAGCTCTGTCTAGAAAAGTCTCAGAGCAGCAGAGCTTGGTATGGGCTGCAAAACCCACCTTAGGAAAGCCAGTGGGTTTGCAACCCACACAGAGCTCTGTGCTGCGCCAGGACGCTATCAGCCATGTCAAGGTCGGTCGTTTAAAGGGTCTGTCTGCAGCACAGACATAGCAGAAGCGGACCTGACCAATGGGGATGTGTTAGAGAAGCCCCTGCAAACTCCCACCACAGAGCAGATGCTTGCTGGCCGAGGATGTAACCCTGCCCAGTCTCCTGGAAGCAGGCTCATTCCTTCTCCTAGCTGGCTCGGCTCTACGGCCTCTTCCAACTGCCAAGCGCGCAGCGAGTGCCAGTCTGTTCAGGGGTCCTGCGGCAACTCCGAATCCCCGGAGAGGCTTGGACCAAGGCCAGCATGCTACAGATTTTCAAGTGAGGACTTTCAGCCTCTGTGACTTATTAACCAAGTAATCTGCAAGGGAGTTATCATCAGGCAATAAGCCCAAAGTCAATAGCTGTCGGCAGCCTCACCTCCACCCCAGCCTTGCGGCAGACTTGGGACCCCAGGATGTGTGACTGTATCTGAGTCAATGAATGCACCACCCACATCCCTGCTGACTCACGCTGCCGGGGCTGGGGTGAGCCACCATGCAAACCCATGACACAAGCTCTATTTGGTCAGAGCCACCTGCGCTGGGTTTGCCTGGATTACATCCTTGCTGCTGTACTTACGCATGAAGGGGTCTCTCCGGAGCTCTCCTCCCAAGCTAACCCACCTCAGAGTAACTCATTTGGCCCATTCTCCAGTCAAGATGCAGATGTGGCCACAGGACCCATCCTCCACTTTGCTTCTCCCCTTGCCTTTGGGATGGGCTGCATTAAAAGCCACTTGCCCCGCTTCCTACTGGGCAGCTTTGCCAGCCACTCTCACAACAAAAGGGTTTCAGAAGACAGCAAGAGCGGGCCCCAGTTTCAGAGCATCTTTGTTGGGAAGTGCCCATCACACACTGCCACAGGAAGCACGCGGGCCCCCCGTGCTTGGCCTGGCCCCTGCACATGTGCAGAGGAGCGCCCAGTGCAGGGCAAGAGCTGTTCCAGGACTTGCTGGGTAAGTCACCCGGTGGATGCCCCTTCCACCAATGTCCTCCCTATGCCAAACCAAACATGGTGCTCCTGCACCCAGCACCCCCCTTTGGTAGTCACCTGGATCAAAACTGCAGCACTATCTGGGACACAGACATCAGCAGCTGGAGGACAGAAGACAGCAAAAATGCTCCCCTCCAACCATGAACAGCAACAGAGTATGCTGGCATCCTAGCAGATGCTGCAAGTTAAACCAGGACCAGACATAGCAGCAGCAACCCCGACAGCCACTGGATGAGAAGGGGGGGGACAATATAGCTGCTAAGTGTTTAGTGTTACCCTTCAGGGTGAGAAAAATCAGAGAGTTTGTGCTGGGAGCTATGGTATGAGGTTAGAGTGCAGGAAACTGGCTTTTCTCCTATTTCCATGCACACATGGTCACATAGGTAAGAATCAGAAGAAGACAGGCTCAAGAGACAAGAGGAGGATTGTCAGGCACAAGCAAGGGAGGAGAAAGAATGGGCTAGCTGTATTTCTAAAGGGACGGAGGTCTCAAGGAAATACCACTGGAACTGCAGCACATGAGAGAGACCGGCTGTCTCGTTTTCCCCTTGTCATGCGATCTGAAGACTTTATTGATCCTCTCAAATGTACCTAGCTGATGGAACAAGGAGCCCCTGGGTTCTATTTATGGCCACTTGTTCAATGCATAATGCTGAGCAAGACCCAAGAACTTTGTAATCCCAGTTATGTGGAAAAATGGGGATAAATACTAACCCCACCAGGGGAGAATGCTTATAAAAGAGAGGAACCAAAACAGAGAGAAACCCCTTACATGTTGGCTTTATCTTACAACAGGACTTTTCTTACCATGGTCTCCTGCTCTCAGTGGAGGGAGGGATCCAAAGCTCAGGGAACAGGTTGCTTCAGACTGGCTGGGCATCATTGGGAGTGCAGGTCTGTGCTCCTAAAATACATTAGGATGGGGGGGGGGGGGGAAAG